CCACACAAACATAAGAAAACATAAACATCCCCTTTAGGACAGAGAGGGAGACACTTATCTTGGAGGGTCAGACCAGGACTAAAAAGCTTTGTGTGGTCTTTCCACCTGGTAGAATATCCCCTCCTAACTGCCATATGAGCAATTAACTAAAGAACAATAAAACACTTAAAAAGAGTCAACACAATTGCTGGTTTCATTTTTTTCTTTTTACTTGAAAACTTGTTTTAACCATCAAATTTGGCAGTTACAAACCTGTACACTGTTGGGGGTTTTTTTTGTTTTGTTTTTATATATTTTTTGGCTCTCTTTTTTTGTTAGTTTTGTTTTTCTTTCATTTTTTAGAAAAAAAAAAAAAACAACACAAGACTGAGTACTGCCAACAGCAATATATGCAGGAACAATCCGTTTCTAAAAGGGACAAGACTCACTTTAAGTGTTAGCTTTCCCCTTTGCATAAGGTTTGGTGTGTGATGTGTGTGCACGTTTAGGTGAGTGTACACGTGTATGGAAAGAAATGGCATACCGTATTCTCACTCTGAATTGGCATAAAAATCAGGTACTTAACTGGGCAAAACACAACCATTTTTTAAAAAATGTCAATAAAAACATTTTCTTGAAAACAGAGAGTTAAATGAAAATAGCAGAACCAATGAAAGGTTACAGTACATTTCAAAATAATTAAAAAACATAATTTTCAAATGTAAAATCATTTGTGTGTGTGTGGGTGGGTAGTTACCTCAAAAGTTTGCAGAACAACAGCATGGATGACTTAGAATCATGTTCGACCCCCCAAATTAAAGCATCCTGATAGGCATCAAATATAGTATCTACAAAAGCCTGGGAAATTGAAACAATTTATATACAATTTTATAAACATTTTAAACACCAAAACATACATCTTTTACAAACCAGCCTGTTTGCAACAGGTAAATGTACAAGACACTCTCTCTGATACAGTGCTTAAAAGAACTGCTTCCATTTCCAGACATATTTGTCACTCCCGAAATGCAGTAGTATGGGCTCATAAAATTGTTAAATAGTAGCAATTCAGGTATTTGTTTGCTGGAAGGGCACTACAGTACATACTAATGGGTGCAAACACACTCCAAATGACTATATGATTCTCTAGTGCACTCTAAACACTGGAAGAGACTAATTATGGCCTTTGTGTATTGTTACATACTTGTAATTATTGCTTTTCATTATTACATAAGGAAAGAAATATCTTATTCTTTTCCTATCTTTTAGCCAGCTGGCTAAATATTAACTGATGCCAAACCCACAAATGGTGACTTTAAACCCTGGCATTATAGAACCAGAAGCTCAAAGACATTGTGGATTTTCATCAAAATAATGTATGGTTGAACGTTGCAGGACACAAACCACCAAAAAGCATAACCACCTTCTCACAGACCACACAAAATGATGACACTGAGGAAATGCCTCTTCAAATCTCCATTTCCCATGGTTTGAAACTAAAAACATACAACATAATAGTCTAACCACTTTACCAATATCTGTTTGCTAAGCGGGCAGCAGAGCGAAGAGGCCAGACAATTATCTGGACAATTCATGCAAAATGAACACCTGATCTTCCTGAATTACTTCACAAGAAAGTGTTTTCTGGGTCTTTAATTTATTTTGACAGTCTGTTTTCTCAATTACCCTGACTTTGATGATGCAGACACAGTAATCGTGGGGCTAGTGGCTGGGGTAGGGTGGGAAGTAAGCAGGAAAGGGCCAATGGTATATAAATTCTACATGCCTTTTTCCCCAGGCCGTGCTAATGATTTCCGAGGGCAGTTCCAGGTAAATCCCAGGACTGAACTCCCTTTCCAGGCTTTCACACTGATTCTCTGATAGGGCAAACCTCAATGCATGTACTGGATCTACTCATATTACTAAGTCTTTTACCATGGCATTTCATGAATGGGCAGGACATGAGTGCATGAAAAGCTGGCATGGAATGAAACTCAGCAGCAAGACATTCACAGAGGAAAAGGAATAAATTAAGCACCTACTTTCTTCATCTTTTACTGCCCCATAGCTCCTGCTTACTGTTTGACAAATACCAACAGTCCAGCTACTGTCAACCTAACCAGATCGTGTGCAACACAAGTAAAGTGCCTGCAACAGGTTACGGAAACTGACTTCCAGGAGGTGACACATACATGTTGGGAAAAAGCGAAAGACACTAACTGGCTTAAATATTTCCATGTGGCTTATTTATCATGGTGGAGGGGGTAGGAACAAACACCACCCAGTAATGGTGGGGAGAAACAGACCAAAAATGCACCTCGGAGGTAATATGATAATCAAAGTTTCCCAAGAAATGATGACTGAATCTGAGTTTAATTCTGTAGTTATCATTTCATCTTCATTTTTAAAACATTCATTTGGCAAAAGCAGCATTTTGATGAATGTCCAAAGAAAATGTGTGAATTCTGTAACTACACCCTTCCTAGGGGGGCTGCATGAGATCATAAGGCTTCTAGGGAAATATTCTCCATGATTTTTCTTTTCTAGCACATTCTAAAGAAGGAATGGTGGGAAGTCTGAAGGTCCATCAGGTACGTATCATGCTCGAGACAGCTTAATGTTATGTAATAAAGAACACTGACGAAATGGATGGGTTCTAGTCCTTGCTCAGCTGCAGAACTTCCTGTGTGAGCTTGGGCAAGTCCCTTCCCCTGTCTGGGTGTATTTCCTCTTTTATTAAATATGGGGGTCCAATTAGCAAATCTTAAGAACTCTTCCTGCTCTTTGAATCTAGTGGTCATTCCACCTATTTACATTTCAGTCTGACTGTAAGCTATTCCATAATTTACAGAGAAATCTAATTTTCCAAAAAATGAAGACATATCATGTGTTTAAAGAAAATGAATCAAAACATAACACATACATATTTAGCTGCAGATCTGTTCTGCAGAAAATCAGGGGAAGCTATCCTGAAAAAAGAAGTATTTTATATAGGTCAGAGCAAATGGTGGGCACAGTTTTCTGCAGTGACTTCACAACTGCATTAGGATCTATTTATTCCTTCTTTACTGTGTCAGTCAGGCATTCTCCCTCGAAGAGATGCTGTGTAAGCAGTAGTGACTCATCGGCATTAATCTCATCCTAATATTTCCTGGGGGCAAGAAATGAATTGTTGGTTTTACTTTGATGGTTTTTATGTCATTGCATTATTAAAAGTGTAGCAGTGATTCCATTCTAGACCATTAGTTTGTCATTTTCTCCATGATTTTTGCAGATGTGCTTCTTACATAAGAAAAATACCAAAGACTCTATTCTCAAAGCAGCCTTAGTGAAATTCATTTATTTCAAGACCACAGTGCAGATAGTGCCTCCGTGAGTAGGTCTGACCAAGAGACAGGAAGAGAAAGGCTGAAAAACCTGTGAAGTGCATCTACTTAATCAGGAATTTTGGGAATGAAAAGGGATTTTTTTTTTTTTTTTTTTACAACAGATGTTCAGAAACACTCCTACAAAGAAGTAAGTGGAGTAAACACAATTGAAACAACTGAAAATATGCCTGAGTGGGAGACACACAGACTCAGGACAGTACAACTTGCATACTAATGTCATATGTCATCAAAACTGCGGACACAGATTTGCTCATTAAGCAGATAGTGCAAATATGCATTTATTTACCATGGCCACTGCACAAGTGACCACAATCCAATTGAAGCAAAAGAGGAAAGTCACTCAACTTGTCAACTTTAAGTTTTGAGTACTGGGTATTGAACTGTATTGAATGATTCTCCTGTCAATTTTGGAAAGTCATGGCCAAAGCCCAGGTCGGATGGGAGGA